GAAAGGGGGGGGGGGGGAGAGAGCAGAACACAAGAGAGCGGGAGAGCGAGGGAGAGTGAAAATAAAGGGCGCAACCCCGATTGGCTCAATTATTTAAGGCTACGAGATCTTGAAGAAAGAGTACCAGTGGTTGACGCTTGTTAATATTATCGTTCATGTTTTCCGAAAATCACACCTAGACATAACCTATATATACCATGCGACTGCAGTTGCTCCTTATTTCGATATTTCGACGCGATTTTCCTTCTTGTCGATCTTGCCTCCGTATAGAAATTGTCATAACGGGAAAATATGCGAGTGGGATGACGATCGTGAGATTACCATTGAATCCTCGGATTATCAAATTATTTCTCAAAGTTCTTCCGCGGCCTCGCTGGACTAACGTTAAATTTGCCTTAAGGCGTTCGATGAATGTCTCGATAATTCAATAATTTCTTTTTCTCGAGCAAATGAATATTCAATACGAATGAATAACATGAAAACAAGAGGTAAATCAATTCTCACGATCGTTATCGCACGTCCAAAGAATCAGCATGAACTACACGGACCTTGGGCCTATTTGCCTAAGGCTACTATGTCCATACTATAAGACTTAACTACCGATGGATACTTTATATGGTAAACATGTATATTATTTGAGGATACGAATATGTAGTAAGGGTTCCTGTATTCCCGGGCGTGAATGATTACTTACTCCTTCTCGTCCTGGGACATCCATTCGAGTATTGTTTTTTTCTCGATTTCATTATAAATTAATCGGAGGTAAATTTTAGGGATTCAGGGTACGAGTCGTCCACGGTGCGTAGTACGTCCTGGAATAAATAGTGTTATCGAGGGGCCACCTAATGTATGACTTTCCATATAAAAGAGTCACCTCGAATTTCACAGTTCATTTCGTGTGATTCGCTGTTGCGTAGTAGATGGCATATAAAATGTCCTGGGAGTACAGTAGCCACTTACAAGGAAGGCAAAAGCGTTGGATCAGCAAGACTTAGGGCATTATACTACCAAGAGTATTATTATGCCCAACCTTTAATATTTAAGTGCGAGTGAGAGTCTATCGAGAAATGCCTCTCGTTTGTGGGTTCAACTTTGTACATATTGTACGAAAATTTAATAATAACTATGTTGAAAGTACTAGTCTGTCTCTTTGTACTTCCGTACACACAACACCACGCGCACCGACATAATATAAATACACGTTACATTCGCTCGCTCACTCACTGACCCTTATGTTTTGCTCGCTATACACTGTTCACGCCCAATAGAATGGAATTTTATACTTTTCTTCACTATCTCTCTCTCTCTCTCTCTCTTTCCCTTGGATTTTATTAACTCGTTCTGATATGTAAAAAAAATCATAAAAAATTCATACACGACCTGGTCGTGTTCCTTATCGATCATCGACTCGTCCCAATGCGCGTGCAAGCCGTATGCACGTACAGCTGTACATTTTCTCAAATTGGACGACGGAAAGCCGAGAAACGTACGTTTGTATCGCGTGAAAATTCCTTGGGAGAAAAAAAAAAGATTAACGAGAGCAAACGTTAACCCAGAAACGATAGACATGAATGAGCGCCGTTATTGGCAATACCTTTTCAATGAGTGAGTCAAAGTTACCAATTTCTACCTACGTTTAGAAAGTATAATTTTATTATCATTTATCCTCGACCATTCTTTTTGTAACTGAGATTGGAGACTACCACGGCCGAGCTGCTCCCACGAGAACCGATTCGCGGCCGTTTTTACATTTTTTCGATATTGGCCCTAGAAGAGTCCTGATCCTCAGTAAACGATTAAATAATTCCGTACGATCGGTATCTGGTAAATTTTTATTTCGCGTGTAACATATCTGTCATCGAAAATTATTTGTTTATCAGTCAACTCGCGACTTCGTGATAATTTTATGATTTTTTCTGTCTTCAACGATTCATCGTCACACGTGCAGATATTTCATCCTCTTGACCGCGATTATCTTAGCCATTTTTCTAAAAGACTTCATCTCTCCGATTTAACGGGAACTTTTTGGCTACGCGGTTGAGATCATTATTGTATATTTTTCTTAAAAAAAAAAAAAAAAAATAAAAAAAAACATGTACATATGTAGAGACCAAGGATAAAACTTGTGAGGGGTTCGTGATGTATGAAGATGAACGTTTCTCGTGAGGGCAGGGCTCTTTCCCTCAGTAGTGTGT